CCCCAAAACCCCAAAACCCCGAAGGAAAACACAAATAAAGAGCTCTTTCGTTATTAGATTTGATTTGAAGAGATAATTTAATTACTAAAACTAAAATTTAAACTAGATTGCCTAGCTAGATAAGATTAGTATTGCTAAAGCTCATAAGTCTTCTTTGGCTTTTGAAGACTTGCTCTTTTTCTCTTTCTTATCCTTCTTGTCCTTCTTCTTCTTTGTTTTCTTTTCTGACTTTCTTTAACTTTCTCTCTCCTTCTCTTCTTCCAGAATTTCCTTTAAAATTTCGTCTTCAAGTCCTTAGTCAGTCTCAAAACTTGCTTCAGTACCAATATCAAGTTGGATGTTTGGACAATCTAGATCTTAGATCTGAATATCATCAGCCTTAACCTTCATGGGGAAAGTGGAAAGCTTTCCATTGACGAATTTGGATTCATGCTTCTGAATAGTTTCCTTGTCAAATTTACCTATCAAGTGAGCTGACTTGTCTTTCTCTGGTAAATAGAAAATAACTGTTGGGATAAACATAGGATTAATCTCAAACTTCTCCAATAGATAGGACTATAATTATATTAATGAATGTGAAGGAAACTTACATGACAGGAAGCATTGATCCACATATAATAGAGTGGAAGTGCTTTAGCATCCTTTTCTAATTATTCCAAAGTCTCAAGGTACTCCTTGTGATTTTAAGTTTCATATTCCTATTAGTTGTTACCTGAGAGGAAGGCGATGGCACAACCCTTCTGCTTGTCAAGGCAGTTTTGCTAAAATTTATATTGGTTGGTGATTTCCTCGAATTTTCTATCTCTAGCCTTAGACTGAAGCTTTTGCTTTTGATTGTAGTCATCCTCCTTATTCTCTAATTTCAATAAGTTTTGAAGCATATCTTGATAGATCAAAGGTCCACCATAGGTGAATTATCTTGCTTGTGTAGAATCTGGCTCAGCCTTGAGAATACCAGCAACTGCTGGCAACTTTTAAATCTAGAAAGCCTTTAGCATTTCCTCAGATGGATCGTATACTGACATGAATGTGAAGTCGTCATGAAGATACTTGACTGCAGAGAGCGCTTTGAAGTTGAGACCGATCTTATCATCGTTATAAAAGTACACAATAACATTCTTTTTCTCCTCAGTAGCACTGCTAATAGCAAGATTATTGAAAATCTTTTCTGAGACTTCCTTGATTTCATGACCAATGGCATCATGGATCTCTTCCTGAATCTGTTCGAACTTAGAGTTCAAATAAATCTCATAAGACTTAGAATTCTTGTCCTCTCCAAATAAATTGTTTTTATAGAATCTAAGTTGAGGGTATTTGCCTCCTAGCTTGAACTTATCCTTGATTTCTTTGTAGTTTTCAGCGCTGTGATTGACATAGAATACTCCTACGTTCAATGGACCGTTTGCCAACTTCAAGATTCTGTCAAAATGTTTCACATCTGTTGATATGTTTTAGGAAGTGATATAGAACACTAGACCTGCTTTGTCACTTTCTAGAATTTTGGAATTGAACTGCCTATAATCATAGAGCTCGTAATAAGCCTTATTCTTTCTTTCCTTTTTCTCTTCAGACTTGGTCTTTGGCTCCTCTGCTTTTGCAGAGTCACTGGCTCTTTAAGGTACTTCAATCTTGTTGAACCTTGCATACTTGCCAAAGAATTCCTTCAACTCATCAAACTTAATATCTTTCTTTTGGTAAAGTGTCGCAGTTTGATTTTCAAGGGTAATGTTCTTGTCCATATCAAAGGATTGCAAAACGACAATTGAAGGGAGTTTGTCCTTGATGGTGTCCTTATACTCTGCCATTACCTTTTCTGTCTCTGAAGATACAAACCCAAATCTCAACTTATCTCTATAGTAGGCTGTCAGGGCTTTGTAGATTGGGGCAGTAGCCTTCTTTTTGCTGAATAAAATGACTTTATTTACTTCTTAGTCTTGCTTAAGATCTCTGAATTCTTCGAGTTTTTGAAGTGAATCAATTTTGAATGAGTAGTCTGGGAGGTTGTTCAGAATAAAGGTCTTAAGTGATGGAACAGTAATCTATCCCTCAGTATATTGGACAGCCTGCATCTTCATGGGCTGATTAGTGTAGGGATTAAGTTTCATTTCAGGTGGCTTAAACAACTACAAAAAGGGAGTATGGTCTTCGTTCTCGCACATCTTGAATTTCTTGGAATCCTTTACCTCTGGTTCGTGGCAATCATAAGCATACCATTGGCAGTAGTTCTTCAACTCTTCTAAGATAGGCTTCATTATCTAGTCATTCATTTACTGCGACTTTTATTGCTCAGAGTCAAACACGTATAGGAACACTAGTTGATCACTTTTTTTTTGAATTTCCTCTTCAAATTGGGATGGCTTATAATTTAGAATCACCCCAGACCCTTTAGGGAAGAAGTCTGATGCTCTTGACTTCTTTGCTCCTTGCACTAAACTTCCTTGGAGGGTAACTAATCCTAGTAGGAGCAGAATGTTCTGGAAATTTCGTCTGAATAAATTTCTCATTGTTTTGAAATTAATTTTGATAATTTAGATATTTACCCACGCTTAAAGATATTGCTTCTTGGGGTTTTGGGGTTTTGGGGTTT